AGAGAGAGAGAGAGAGAGAGAGAGAGAGAGAGAGATGACAATGGTCGCACAGAGAGAGAGAGAAAGAAAGAGAGAGACACAGAGAGAGAGATATATGAAACAATGGTCGCAGAGAGAGAGAGAAAGAGAGAGAGAGATGAAACAAGGGTCGCACAGAGAGAGAGAGAAACAATGGTCGCACAGAGAGAGAAAGAGAGAGAGAGAGAGACAAAGAGAAAAAGAGAGAGAAATAAAAAGAGAGAGAGCACCTCGCCTACACCCCTAGCTCGGAGGTCCTCGCTCCCGGGGAGGGTAAGCCTGCAATGACTTGCCGATTTCTACTGCCGGGACTGACTGCGAGGCTGTATAGTACAGCAGTAGGTTAGATTCGCAATTTTGTTCAGCGGAGGGCTAACCGAGAGACCTACCTGTAAGGAAATTCGTGAGGGACATATCTGCAAATCTGGGGAAAAATAGGCCCAGTACTAACTCGAGTTCCTACACCTACCCTAACTGCGTATAGCAGGCCCGGGCTACCCCTAGGACAGACAGGCCCTAAGTGGCCTATACTGATAGACGGTCCTATAGCCTATAGCCGGGTCCGGTAGAGGCCGAGAGGCCAAAACAGCAACGGTACCGGTCGGTCAGTCAGTCCGGTCTAGGTCTAGTGTAGTCTATAGATAGGTTAGGCCCACGGTTCAGGACTTTGGGCAGTTCATTTCTCGCGAAGCAGCGTTGGAGAAGCCAAGCAAGTTGGTGGCGGAGTTGGTCTGCAGGCGGCATCCCGAGACCTCGCCGTTGACAGTAGCCATAGCCGGCCCAGTCTGAGTCTGCCATAGCTGGGGCATCCTCAGCGCACCTACCCCTGGGGTATCTGCGTCTGGCCAGGCTATTTTGAGGCTCTACAGTGTGTACTCGTGGGTGGTGGCAGCCATAGCTGCCTGTTCCTTCGTCAGAGTTGTCCATCGGCGCTGAAAACTTCATCGCAGGACCTGTTCTTCATCAGGGTGGTTGTCGCTGGCCTCTGGGAGGCCATTCTGATGCGGCGCTACTAACTGGGTGTAGGATAGAGAGTGGGGTGTGAGTTCTGAGAGTGGCGAGATACGGGAACAAACTCTGTTACGATAATTGTTTGAGTTGGCTCATCATCAGTGCAATTTCAATTGTTATCCTCGCAGGTTCTTTCTTGTGATTGGTTGTTGGGAGTTTCGTCAGAGAGCGAGAAACACTGTGTGTCTTCTCCCCATCTGTGCATGATTGCCTTCCGCTGCCTATTTTTCCCTGTGTGCAGTTTGGACTCTGTCTCCTCTCTCCCCTTCTCTTATGCATGTATGGGCATGTATGAGACTGTCTGTGTGTGAGTGGCGATAAAATTCGTCAGACAACCAAGTTCATAACAGAGAGAGATGAAACAATGGTCGCACAGAGAGAGAGAAAGAGAGAGAGAGAGAGACAAAGAGAAAAAGAGAGAGAAAGAAAAAGAGAGAGAGAGAGAGAGAAAGAGAGAGAAAAAGAGAGAAAAAAGAGAGAGAAAAAAGAGAGAGAGAGAGAAAAAGAGAGAGAGAAGAAGGTGATAGGGCATGCAGAGGGAAGAAAGACATACAGGGCGAAAAGCAGGGTTATAATTTTTTTTTAATTTCTCTCTATATAAATTTATCGCCTCGCTTCCGCCTTCTTTCTTCGAGTGCCTTCCAAAAATTAGGGTTCTCTTTTTCCCTGATTAGGGTTTCCAAATTATTCCAAACAACGCGCATTTTTTTTTAATTTCTTTGGGGGAAAACAACGCGCATTTTTTTTTTACCCTGATCTCACCATACGTTAAAAAAAAAAAAAAAAAAAAAAAAAGGTCGATCAGTCAAGAAACACATTCATGAACTGAAAATCGAATGAGTCAACTTTGCCCTCCCCCCCCCAAAAAAAAAACAAAAAACAAAAAAAGAAAGTCCACCTCAATCCTCAACCTAATCGGTCTGCCTATCAATTTCGGCTTGACTGGCACAAAGAACCAAAAAAAAAAAAAAAAAGACGAAAAATGAGGGCGTAAGAAAAGGGCGGGAAAAGGGGAAAAGACATTGATTTGTCTAATTCGTTTTGTTTCCCGTTACTATCATTTCATTTTCGTTTTGCTCAATAAATCAATCAGGTCAAACCAGTTGGAGTCGATCAATCAAATTAATCAGATCAAATCAAAATTCAATCAATCAAATCAATCGAATCAACCAATCAATTCAATCAATCAAATCAACCAATCAAACCAATCAGACCATTGACTCACATCAATCAAATCATTCAAATCAAATCAATCAAATCAATTAAATCAATCGACAAATCAATCAAAAAATCAATCAAATCAATCGACAAATCAATCAACAAATCAATCAAATCAG